TCGCACACAGCAGACATATGTAGATATGCAGCAGCTATTAATATCCCATCCTGGGTGTCCCAACACATGCACTCTTTGACACCCAACACCCCCACTGGAAGCTTCTGGAAGCTCAGTAAGAAAGACTCTTCCAGAATGAACCGCCAGTGCTATATAAGAAAGCTGGGACAGCTGTCGTAGTCACCCCAGAAGAACACAAGGCAGAAGCACCAAAGAGCACAGCTTGTCCTACTACTGCTAGAGGGATACAAAGAAGACACCTAGAGGAATACAAGGTGAACACCTAGAGGGATACAAAGAAGACACCTAGAGGGATACGAGGTGGACACCTAGAGGGATACAAAGAAGATACCTAGAGGAATACAAGGTGAACACCTAGAGGGATACAAAGGAGACACCTAGAGGGATACAAGGTGAACACCTAGAGGGATACAAAGAAGACACCTAGAGGGATACGAGGTGGACACCTAGAGGGATACAAAGAAGATACCTAGAGGAATACAAGGTGAACACCTAGAGGGATACAAAGAAGACACCTAGAGGGATACAAGGTGGACACCTAGAGGGATACAAAGAAGACACCTAGAGGGATACGAGGTAGACACCTACAGGGATACAAAGAAGATACCTAGAGGAATACAAAGTGGACACCTAGAGGGATACAAGGTGAACACCTAGAGGGATACAAGGTGGACACCTAGAGGGATACAAGGTGGACACCTAGAGGGATACAAAGAAGACACCTAGAGGGATACAAAGAAGACACCTAGAGGGATACAAAGAAGACACCTAGAGGGATACGAGGTAGACACCTACAGGGATACAAAGAAGATACCTAGAGGAATACAAAGTGGACACCTAGAGGGATACAAGGTGAACACCTAGAGGGATACAAGGTGGACACCTAGAGGGATACAAGGTGGACACCTAGAGGGATACAAAGAAGACACCTAGAGGAATACGAGGTAGACACCTAGAGGGATACAAAGAAAACACCTAGAGGAATACAAGGTGGACACCTAGAGGGATACAAAGATGACACATAGTGGGATACAAAGAAGACACCTAGAGGGATACAAGGTGGACACCTAGTGGGATACAAAGAAGACACCTAGAGGGATACAAGGTGAACACCTAGAGGAATACAAGGTGGACACCTAGAGGGATATGAGGTAGACACCTAGTGGGATACAAAGAAGACACCTAGAGGAATACGAGGTAGACACCTAGAGGGATACAAAGAAGACACCTAGAGGAATACACGGTGGATACCTAGAGGGATATGAGGTAGACGCCTAGTGGGATACAAAGAAGACACCTAGAGGGATACAGGGTAGACACCAGGTACACCTAGAGGGATATGAGGTAGACGCCTAGTGGGATTCAAAGAAGACACCTAGAGGGATACAGGGTAGACACCTAGTGGGATACAAAGAATACACCTAGAGGGATACAAGGTGGACACCTAGAGGGATACAAAGAAGATACCTAGAGGGATACAAGGTGGACACCTAGAGGGATACAAAGAAGACACCTAGAGGGATACAAGGTAGACACATAGAGGAATACAGAGGAGCTGACTACACTAGACAAATCATATAATTATAGAAGTGGACACATCGCTGTCAAAGGCCAAGGTCCAATCTGTCACAGAGAACACAAGACAGAGAAGCAACCATAGTGCAGAGACCTAGACTAACTATCCACAATCCAGGAATGTAGAGTTGCCTGGAAAGGTGCAGTATTTATGGAACATGGCTAGGCCAAGGGGTTGTCAGAAGGGACAGTCACCTTGGGCGATTCACCATTGGGGGCATGTGCAAAAAGGACGAGACCTGCAAACTATGCTGCTGAAGTAGTTCACAGCTCATGGTTGGAGTGGGAGGGTGTATAGGGGGCTACACTTTGGTCTTTTTGCCTTGGGTGCTTGTCTTGTCACTGTGTAGGGACTTTACAAAGGACATATATAACACCGAATGTCTGTTACCATTGATTGGTGATGGCTTGGTTACCACCAGTACAAGGAAAATAGCAGCAATGAACTATGAGAAGAACAGTGGAGATGGCGACCATGGTGGTTCAGCAAGTTTAAAGTGGACCTGTCATCAGATACATTTTTCAGGTTAAAGCGGAGTTCCAGATGAAAAATAAATAAAATAAAAGTCAGCAGCTACAAAAACTGTAGCTGCTGACTTTTAAAATACAGACACTTACCTGTCCCTCAATCCAGCGGTGTCCTCACCATGGCTGGTTTCACTGGCCGTCTTCTCTCCCCGGTGCCGGCATCTTCAGTGTGGACACCCGGCTGGGACAGCTTGCAGCTTCACAGCCGGGTGCCCACTGGGCATGTGCGAGAAGCGCTGCGCTTCCTGAATGGCCCCGTAGTCTTCTGGGACCTGTCACATGTCCCAGAAGACTACGGAGAGGGCAACTTCCGCTTCCAATCACCTAGGTGATCGCAGTGGTAGTGGAAGCAGGTACCCGAGAGTACCCACTCCTCTAAGGTGCCAATCCTTAATGGGGAGCGGGGGCAAAGGTTTAAAGCGGAACTTCCCCTTTTGGGTGGAGCTCCGCTTTAAGTGTATGCATGCTAAGTAGTGTGTAACATTGGTACTCCCAGATGTTTGTTACCTCTCACAGAGATCCCAGTACTCCCCCTGACAATCAGCTTTTCTCTCCGGATGGATGGCGCCATTTTCAGGCATCATCCAGGGTCACCATCTATATCTTGGACTGAGATGCCATCTCAGAGTTTACACAATCATGTGACTTGTGGTGGCCATGCACAGGGCTGAGACAAGGGGGCAAGGATTGGGCAGGAGGGGCAGATGCCCTGGGCGCAGCAGAGAAAGGGGGCAGAAAATGAACGTGGGACATTAAACCCATTCTATAACATTCATTAATAGTAGGGAAGGGGGGATGCAGTTCCGCATCTTTGCCCTGGGTGCTGGATAAACCTGTTCCAGTACTGGCCATGCAGTTCTCATATATTTATCCCAGACCATCCTTTACTGTACCCTTGTTCCTTGTACCTCGCTTCAAAGTTACAATGTTGCAGTTTGACAAGAAGGGGGAGAGGAGACTGAGGAAATGCTTCCTTCTGCTTGCAGCAGACAAATGGCATCATCTGAGCCTAGGAAAATCTGCTTGGCTGGAGATCAAGGGTTTTTTCTTCATGCTAAAAGAAGAAAATTTAGTTTAAAAAAAAAAATCAACACCTAGGGGCCAAGCCCAACCCCTGAAAAACAACACCACACCATAATCCCCCCTCCACCAAACTTTACATTCCGCACAATGCAGTCAGGTAAGTACCGTTCCCCTGGCAATCGCCAAACCCAGACACATCCATCGGATTGCCAGACACAGAAGTGTGATTGGTCACTGCAGAGAACACTTCTCCACTGCTCTAGAGTCCAGTGGCGGTGTGCTTTACACCACTGCATCCGACGCTTTGCATTGCACTTGGTGATGTAAGGCTTGGATGCAGCTGCTCGGCCATGGAAACCCATTCCATGAAGTGCTCTACACACTGTTGTTGTGCTCATCTGAAGGCCAAACCAAGTTTGGAGGTCTTTAGCTACTGACTCTGCACACAGTCAAAGACTTCTGCGCACTGTGTGCTTCAGCATGCACTGACCCCGCTCTGTCATGTGACGTGGCCTACCACTTGGTGGCTGAGTTGCTGTTGTTCCCAGTTGCTTCCACTTTGTTATAATCCCACTAACAGTTGAGCGTGGAATATTTAGTTGCCAGGAAATGTCACGGATGGACTTATTGCCCAGGTGGCCACCTATCACAGGACCACGCTTGGGGTCACTGAGCTCCTGAGAGCAACCCATTCTTTCACAAATGTCTGTAGAAGCAGTCTGCATGCCTAGGGGCTTGATTGTATACTGGATGAAAAGCACTAACTCTCCAGTGCCTCAAAAGGGGTCAATGCCAGGAAGAGGCCAGGGAGTCCAATATGTTGATTGCCTTTGGATAAATTCTTGGTGATGCAGCCCTCCTCAGACTGGGAAATCATCAAAACTGGAAAAGAAGCACACAGGTGGTGCAAACACCTAGTGCATTATCCAAGGTATTTGAAAAGTAAAAAGACAAAAAAACAAACTCACAAAATACATAAACTACCCTAAATGCCACAAGGATGGTCCACAATGATGGCAGAGTGTCTGACTGATGGCATGTCCCAATACTTTTGGCAATACAGTGTGTGGATAGATAGATAGATAGATAGATAGATAGATAGATAGATAGATAGATAGATAGATAGATAGATAGATAGATAGATGATGGATGGATGGATGGATGGATGGATGGATGGATGGATGGATACGAACGAACGGACGGACGGACGGACAGACAGACAGATAGATAGATAGATAGATAGATAGATAATGGATAGATAGATAGTTAGATAGATAGATAGATAGATAACGGATAGATAGATAGATAGATAGATAGATAGATAGATAGATAGACAGAGAGAGAGAGAGAGAGAGAGAGAGAGAGAGAGAGAGAGAGATAGAATATACTGTAGTTGTATATTATGATATGTCAGGAAATTATTCATGCAGACTTGTAGAGTCACTAGAGTTTCCAGTTCAATTTCATTCATACATAATGGAGTGAATCAGAAAAATACCATATTAGGCCACTAGATGAAGCCAGTGATCATAGGAAATAAATACTAATTTACTATGATCTTCAGCTCCATCTAGTGGCCATAATGTGATTTGTTTTTGAAGCACTGTTTTTGTTTTTTTATGAATGAATAATTTTTGATCTGGAGAGAAAACAGCCTAATAACATTCGATTTTACCGCCATTCTCACAGAACGAGCATACTTGCATGAATAGCTCATCAAATTTTAATACTTCCCTATATGCTGACCTTTGCCTATAGAAAGTGCTGCATTGAGGGTAACAGGCTCAGCTTTTAGACCAGCTCTTTGCAGGAAAAAGCGAAGTAACATGACTTTATTTATCCTTGTTCCCAGGATGCCTGAAGAACTTAAACCAATGGAGGAGGAGGTGGAGACCTTTGCTTTCCAGGCTGAGATCGCTCAGCTGATGTCATTGATTATCAACACTTTCTATTCTAACAAAGAGATCTTTTTGCGAGAGATCATCTCCAACTCATCCGATGTAAGTTCATTACATAAATACATGGATCATAACTTAAATCTTCGTTCAGACTAGCAGTTGGGGAAGGGGGGTGTGAAATATGTGCAGTAGAGCTGGGTTTTTAGCACCCCACTCATGATCCCCCTTTACCCTAGGTTCACACCTAAGCGTTTTCTGCAGCGTTTTGCAGAAACGCAGTATAGTCCATTTAACACAATCCTATGGGGCAGGTTCACATCTGCACATTTTCACCCGGTGCATTTTTTGGAAAGGGTCAGGGACTTATTTGTTAGCAAAAAGTTACGTTTTTGATTCTATAGAGTTCAAAGGAAACGCTGCAGAAAAGCATGTATTGCATTTTTTATGCGTTTTTGCTTCTCTTTTGGTGCGTTTTAAATCTGCCTAGCAACAAGAAACATTTTTAGAATGAAAAATAAATAGCAAAACGCCTCAAAATGCGTAAAAACTACAGGTGCAAAAACGCAATGCAGAAATGGCTCAAACGCAGCCTGCATAGGTGTGAATCTAGCCTTCAGCTGCAATAGCAGGGGACTGGTGTGTTCACATGCCACGGTCAGGGCTGGGACAAAGGGTGGGCAGAAGGGATGGCTGCCCTGGGCGGGGTGGGGATTTGGGGGTTGTGCTAGAAGGGATGCTCTGGAGGGGGGGTGGGGGGGGGAGTTGAACTAGGAGGGTGGACTTGTGTTAGGAAGGGGGATTTGAGTGGGGGGGATATGTGGTTGTAGTGATGATTGGGGGGTTGTGCTAGAAGGGATGCTTGGAGGGGGGGGGAGTTGAACTAGGAGGGTGGATTTGTGTTAGGAAGGGGGATTTGAGTGAGTGTGTGTGTGTGTGTGTGGGGGGGGGGGGGATATTTGGTCGTAGGGATGTTTTGGGGGTTGTGTTAGAAGGGATGATTGGAGGGGGGGGAGTTGACCTAGGAGGGTGGATTTGTGTTAGAAAGGGGGATTTGAGTGTGGGGAGGGGGGATATGTGATCGTAGGGATGATTGGGGGGTTGTGCTAGAAGGGATGATTGGAGGAGGGGGGAGTTGAACTAGGAGGGTGGATTGGTGTTAGGAAGGGGGATATGAGTGGGGGGGGGGGGGGGATATGTGGTAGTAGGGATGATTGGGGGGTTGTGCTAAAAGGGATGCTTGGAGGAGGAGGGGGAGTTGAACTAGGAGGATGGATTTGTGTTAGGAAGGAGGATTTAAGTGCGTGTGTGTGTGTGTGTGGGGGGGGGGGGGGTATGTGGTTGTAGGGATTATTGGGGGGTTGTGCTAGAAGGGATGCTTGGAGGGGGGGGGGAGTTGAACTAGGAGGGTGGATTTGTGTTAGGAAGAGGGATTTGAGTGGGGGGGATATGTTGTAGTAGGGATGATTGGGGGGTTGTGCTAGAACGGATGATTGGAGGAGGGGGGGAGTTGAACTAGGAGGATGGATTTGTGTTAGAAAGGGGGATTTGAGTGTGTGTGTGTGGGGGGGGGGGGATATGTGGTCGTAGGGATGATTGGGGGGTTGTGCTAGAAGGGATGCTTGGAGGAGGAGGTGGAGTTGAACTAGGAGGATGGATTTGTGTTAGGAAGGGGGATTTAAGTGTGTGGGGTGGGGGGATATGTGGTTGTAGGGATGATTGGGGGGTTGTGCTAGAAGGGATGCTTGGTGGGGGGGGGGGAGTTGAACTAGGAGAGTGGACTTGTGTTAGGAACGGGGATTTGAGTGGGGGGGATATGTGGTAGTAGTAGGGATGATTGGGGGGTTGTGCTAGAAGGGATGATTGGAGGGGGGGGGGGAGTTGAACTAGGAGAGTGGACTTGTGTTAGGAAGGGGGATTTGAGTGGGGGGAATATGTGGTAGTAGGGATGATTGGGGGGTTGTGCTAGAAGGGATGATTGGAGGAGGGGGGGGAGTTGAACTAGGAGGGTGGATTTGTGTTAGAAAGGGGGATTTGAGTGTGGGGGGGGGGGGGATATGTGGTCGTAGGGATGATTGGGGGGTTGTGCTATAAAGGGATGATTGGAGAAGGAGGGGGAGTTGAACTAGGAGGATGGATTTGTGTTAGAAAGGGGGATTTGAGTGGGGGGGGGATATGTGTTAGTAGGGATGATTGGGGGGTTGTGCTACAAGGGATTATTGGAGGAGGGGGGGAGTTGAACTAGGAGGGTGGATTTGTGTTAGAAAGGGGGATTTGAGTGGGGGGGGATATGTATTAGTAGGGATGATTGGGGGGATTTGTGCTAGGAGGGAAATTTTTGAGAGGAGGATTTGTGCTAGGAGAGGGGATTTGTGCTGGAAGAGGGAGAGAGAGGATTTATTCTCAATGGGGAAATTTAAGGGGTATTTGTGTTGGAAGGGGGTTGGGGAGGGAGAGGATTTGAGCTGCGAGGGGGAAATTTGTCGTGGAAGAGGGGAAATTTTTGTTTGGGGAGAATTTTAGCTTGCAAGGGAAATTTACGCTCCGGGTGCTTAAGTGGTAAGTGTGAAGATTAGCGCTCACATTTTTTTTTTGAAGGGGGGAGGGGATTATTTCTGACACACAATGCTCATATGTTTTTTGGGTGGGGGGGGTGGTGCACCAATCGGCATCATCACCCTGGGCTCTAGATGACCTCGTCCCAGCACTGGCCACAGTCACCATGCTATGCTTTGGTCCCTCAGACGAAGTGGGCCACAATGCACATGGCTGCGGGACAATGGCTGTCAAAAATGAATTGACAACTTGAAATGAGGAGGCATCACATCATCTCCTCCCCGCCTGTCACTAGCCTGTGAAGAGAGATCCAAACACAGGTCATTTTTCAGAGGAGCGGCATGATCATGCACAGATGTTTTCCAGATTTTTTTTGCTTTCTCTCTTTAACCAGCTCACATGCCACAGAGCAGAAACTCCCTTTGAGTTCAAAGTGTTTCTGTAGCCAGATTTATTTAAAATTTTATTGTGGTAAATATTTAGAACCAGGGCAGGGACAAGGGGTGGGCGAGAGGGACGGCTGCCCTGGGCGCAGTAAAGCAAGGGGGCAGAGAATGAAAGCAGGATGTTACACCCATTCTACAACATGCTTTAGCAGTGTGGGGGGGGGGGGGGGGGGGGGTACAGTTCCAAATCATTTCCCTGGGCACTGGATGAACCTATCCAGGGTCTGGTTAGAACCTTTGCCTTTTTTTCTGTGCCTGTGGTACTCAGTAGAATGTCATGTATTCTGTCAGCCACTAGGGAGCAACAGCTAAATCAGTGAGACTTTATTATAATTTTCAAGGGATATAATTAGTTTGTGGACACTGACGTCTTAAAGCTGACGTTCAGTCTGCTACAATTCTTTCCCCCTTCATTAACAGGCTAATTAAATTTAAAAAAAAGAAAAAGACTTTCTATTTTCACTGCTAATGTTATTTTAGATATAGTGACATCGTCACTGGGTCTCTGTGCTTTTCTATGCAATGCAGAATCCAAAAAACAGAGGTATATCGCTCAGGCAAACAATCCAGATCAATCCACGACAGGTGCAGGCTCTGGCTCACCACCAGGCTCAGTCTCCATGGTTGATGTGATGCTGAGCCTCCATGGTTGATGTGACGCTGAGTCTCCATGGTTGGTGTGATGCTGAGCCTCCATGGTTGATGTGACGCTGAACCTCCATGGTTGATGTGACGCTGAACCTCCATGATTGATGTGATGCTGAGCCTCCATGGTTGATGTGACGCTGAGCCTCCATGGTTGATGTGATGCTGAACCTCCATGGTTGATGTGACGCTGAACCTCCATGGTTGATGTGATGCTGAGCCTCCATGGTTGATGTGATGCTGACCCTCCATGGTTGATGTGACGCTGAGCCTCCATGGTTGATGTGATGCTGACCCTCCATGGTTGATGTGACGCTGAGCTTCCATGGTTAATGTGATGCTGAGCCTCCATGGTTGATGTGACGCTGAACCTCCATGGTTGATGTGATGCTGAACCTACATGGTTGATGTGACGCTGAACCTCCATGATTGATGTGATGCTGAGCCTCCATGGTTGATGTGACGCTGAACCTCCATGGTTGATGTGATGCTGAACCTCCATGGTTGATGTGACGCTGAACCTCCATGGTTGATGTGATGCTGAGCCTCCATGGTTGATGTGACGCTGAGCCTCCATGGTTGATGTGATGCTGACCCTCCATGGTTGATGTGACGCTGAGCTTCCATGGTTGATGTGACGCTGAGCCTCCATGGTTGATGTGACGCTGAACCTCCATGGTTGATGTGACGCTGAGCCTCTCCATGGTTGATGTGATGCTGACCCTCCATGGTTGATGTGATGCTGAACCTCCATGGTTGATGTGATGCTGAGCCTCCATGGTTGATGTGATGCTGACCCTCCATGGTTGATGTGATGCTGACCCTCCATGGTTGATGTGATGCTAAGTCTCCATGGTTGATGTGATGCTAAGCCTCCATGGTTGATGTGATGCTGGGCCTCCATGGTTGATGTGATTCTGACCCTCCATGGTTGATGTGATGCTGAGCCTCCATGGTTGATGTGATGCTGAACCTCCATGGTTGATGTGATGCTGACCCTCCATGGTTGATGTGATGCTGAGCCTAAATTGTTGATGTGATGCTGAGCCTCCATGGTTGATGTGATGCTGAGTCTCCATGGTTGATGTGATGCTGACCCTCCATGGTTGATGTGATGCTGACCCTCCATGGTTGATGTGATGCTGAGTCTCCATGGTTGATGTGATGCTGAGTCTCCATGGTTGATATGATGCTGACCCTCCATGGTTGATGTGATGCTAAGCCTCCATGGTTGATGTGATGCTGACCCTCCATGGTTGATGTGATGCTAAGCCTCCATGGTTGATGTGATGCTGAGCCTCCATGGTTGATGTGATTCTGACCCTCCATGGTTGATGTGATGCTGAGCCTCCATGGTTGATGTGATGCTGAACCTCCATGGTTGATGTGATGCTGACCCTCCATGGTTGATGTGATGCTGAGCCTAAATTGTTGATGTGATGCTGACCCTCCATGGTTGATGTGATGCTGACCCTCCATGGTTGATGTGATGCTGACCCTCCATGGTTGATGTGATGCTGACCCTCCATGGTTGATGTGATGCTGACCCTCCATGGTTGATGTGATGCTGACCCTCCATGGTTGATGTGATGCTGAGTCTCCATGGTTAATGTGATGCTGAGCCTCCATGTTAGAAAGAGCTGAAACCAATGAATGAAAGGGGTGGGCAAGGGACAGTAAGGCTGGGGAGGAAAGTTCTAGATGATGCTGGGCGTCCACCAGCTAAGGAATGGTAATAACCAGATGCATAAATATTTTGGACTTTCAGGCTCTGGATAAGATCCGCTATGAAAGCCTCATTGACCCCAGCAGGCTGGATTCTGGCAAAGACCTGAAGATCGACTTGATCCCCAACAGATATGACAAAACCCTGACTATAATTGACACTGGAATCGGCATGACCAAAGCTGATCTCATCAACAACCTGGGCACCATCGCCAAATCGGGAACCAAGGCTTTTATGGAGGCTCTGCAGGCCGGAGCAGACATCTCCATGATCGGTCAGTTCGGTGTGGGTTTCTACTCCGCCTATCTAGTCGCTGAGAAAGTGACGGTGATCACCAAACACAACGATGACGAGCAATACATCTGGGAATCATCGGCCGGAGGGTCCTTCACCGTCAGACCAGACAATGGTAAGTGGTCTCTCCCGTTTTCTGCTCTGAGAGCAATGGTGCCGTGCTATCATCCATAACAACCAATCAGATTTCACTCTGTTACAGTCAGATCAGTAACAGATTTATTCTCGTCCCGTGCCACGAGCAGGGGCGGACTGACAACTCATGGGGCCCCCGGGCAATAGGGGATCATGGGGCCCCTGTGTCCTAGCCCACACTCAAACCACACCCAAAAAAGCCTACGAAAGGTACCAAGGGCATCTCATGGGGCCCCCTACAGATCCCGGGCCCTCGGGCAGTGCCCAAGTGCCCAAATGGTCAGTCTGCCCCTGGCCACGAGTTGCTTCATTTTACTCAAAGCTTTTGCAATTATAGCCCCTCTGGAAGATTCCCCCCCCCCCCCCTCTTGACCAGACCATTTTTTGCAGTGCGGCACTGCATTATTTTAACTGACAATTGCGCAGTCATGCCACGCTATACATAAATTACATTTATATCATTTTTTTCATTTTTTCTTTTGGTGCTACTTTTTATTTTTTATTTTTTTATGGGTTTTTTATTTTTTGTGCTATAAAAAAAAAAGACAGAATTAAAAAAAAAACTATATTTTTTACTTTTTGCTAAAAAACATATCCAATAAAAAAAAATGTATTCATAAATTTAGGCCAAAAAGTGTTCTGCTACGTGTCTTATGTAAAAAACAAACAAACCAATAAATGTATATTAATTGGTTTGCGTGCAAATGTGCAGAAGAAAAGTGACTTATGTGCAAAATTTTATAACAGAAACGAAGAAAAAGGGTTTTTTTTTTTTTCAAACTTTTTGGTCTTTTAACGTTTTTTTTAGCAAAAAATAAAAAATAAAAACCCAGTGGTGATTAACCTCTTCACGCCGGCCGCACACAAATGTGTGGCTTCCCGGCATCTGGGCCTAGACACCGAGCGGCCGCACATTTGCGTTCCATTAAAAAAGGACATATGTGCCGTGTGCTCCCAGCACACATGTCCGGTACTCACAGAAAGGTCCCGATCTCCTCTTTCGATCTGGACCTTTCCTGATCATGTGACCGCTGTAACGGCACATCACGGCGGTCACATGACCCTAAACCCCGCCCCGCCTCCCGGCTTCTGGAACTCTTAAAAGGTCGGGAGGCACCGGCGTCAAGGGGTTAAATACCACCAAAAGAACACTCTGTGTGAAAAAAATGATAAAAATGTATTGTGGGTACAGTGTTACATGACCGCGCAATTGCCATTCAAAGAGCGACAGCCCTGAAAGCTGAACATTTGCCTGGGCAGGAAGGGGTGGAAGTGGCCGGTATTGAAGTGGTTAAAGTGCTTGTACCCATAAGATCGAACTTCTCTTATATATTCCCTTTCGATCACTGAAAGTGTTTTCTTATATCTGTTGTCAGGCAGGGGCAATGAGTTTGTAATGTCTTCCTTCATTAGGTGAACCTATGGGGCGTGGGACAAAAGTCATTCTACACCTGAAAGAAGACCAGACTGAGTACTTAGAGGAGAAGAGGATTAAAGATGTTGTGAAGAAACATTCCCAGTTCATTGGCTATCCCATCACTTTGTATGTAAGTATCTTATGTATCAGAATACTTTGATCGCTATGTCAAAATGCCACATGCCACGCTATATCATATCATATGCATATCACCATGTATAATACATAAGGGGGGGATATGATCTCCATGTATAATACATAAGGGGGGGATATGATCTCCATGTATAATACATAAGGGGGGATATGATCACCATGTATAATACATAAGGGGGGATATGATCACCATGTATAATACATAAGGGGGGATATGATCTCCATGTATAATACATAAGGGGGGGATATGATCTCCATGTGTAATACATAAGGGGGATATGATCACCATGTATAATACATAAGGGGGGATATGATCACCATGTATAATACATAAGGGGGGATATGATCTCCATGTATAATACATAAGGGGGGGATATGATCTCCATGTGTAATACATAAGGGGGATATGATCACCATGTATAATACATAAGGGGGGATATGATCACCATGTATAATACATAAGGGGGGATATGATCACCATGTATAATACATAAGGGGGGATATGATCTCCATGTGTAATACATAAGGGGGGATATGATCTCCATGTGTAATACATAAGGGGGGATATGATCACCATGTATAATACATAAGGGGGGATATGATCACCATGTTTAATACATAAGGGGGGGATATGATCACCATGTATAATACATAAGGGGGGATATGATCACCATGTATATCACATAAGGGGGGGATATGATCTCCATGTATAATACATAAGGGGGGGATATGATCACCATGTTTAATACATAAGGGGTGATATCACCATACATAAGGGGGGATATGATCACCATGTATAATACATAAGGGGTGATATGATCACCATGTATAATACATAAGGGGGGGATATGATCACCATGTATAATACATAAGGGGGGGATATGATCTCCATGTATAATACATATGGGGGGATATGATCACCATGTATAATACATAAGGGGGGATATGATCTCCATGTATAATACATAAGGGGGGGATATGATCACCATGTATAATACATAAGGGGGGGATATGATCTCCATGTATAATACATAAGGGGGGGATATGATCTCCATGTATAATACATATGGGGGGATATGATCTCCATGTATAATACATAAGGGGGGGATATGATCTCCATGTATAATACATAAGGGGGGATATGATCTCCATGTATAATACATAAGGGGGATATGATCTCCATGTATAATACATAAGGGGGGATATGATCTCCATGTATAATACATAAGGGGGGGATATGATCTCCATGTATAATACATAAGGGGGGGATATGATCACCATGTATAATACATAAGGGGGGGATATGATCACCATGTATAATACATAAGGGGGGGATATGATCATCCCATGTATAATACATAAGGGGGGATATGGTATAATACATAAGGGGGGATATGATCACCATGTATAATACATAAGGGGGGATATGATCTCCATGTATAATACATAAGGGGGGGATATGATCACCATGTATAATACATAAGGGGGGATATGATCTCCATGTATAATACATAAGGGGGGGTATGATCTCCATGTATAATACATAAGGGGGATATGATCTCCATGTATAATACATAAGGGGGGATATGATCACCATGTATAATACATAAGGGGGGATATGATCACCATGTATAATACATAAGGGGGGGATATGATCTCCATGTATAATACATAAGGGGGGATATGATCTCCATGTATAATACATAAGGGGGGATATGATCTCCATGTCTAATACATAAGGGGGATATGATCTCCATGTATAATACATAAGGGGGGATATGATCACCATGTATAATACATAAGGGGGGATATGATCTCCATGTATAATACATAAGGGGGGATATGATCTCCATGTATAATACATAAGGGGGGATATGATCTCCATGTATAAATACATCAGTGGTTCATATAGTGAACTCGGTGTAGTTATTCACCCTGAGGTCATCACAGAGGACAAGGGGGCGCTCTTTACGTCTGGAGGAAAAGAAATGTAATCTCCAAACACGGAAAGGTTTCTTCACAGTAAGAGCTGTGAAAATGTGGAATAGACTCCCTCAAGAGTTGGTTGTGGCCAGCTCAGTGGATTGCTGTAGGAAAGTCCTGGATTCTTTCTTGGATACACAGAATATAACTGGATATAACATTTATAGGTAAAGTTGATCCAGGGAATATCCGATTGCCTCTTGGGGGATCAGGAAGGAATTTATTTCCCTGAAGGAGAAAATTGGATCGTGCTTTGCTGGGTTTTTTCCTTCCTCTTGATCAACTGTGGGTGCAGGATTATAACTTTTTTTTTCTTCAGCTGGATGGCCTTTTGTCTTTTTTTCACCCAGACTAACTATGCGACTATGTAACTATGTATATATCTAACAATGTTGGGAAGGAATGCTGTGGGACAGATAAGGACAAGCAGCCATGATGGATTCAAGGCTGCTGATAACATTTTATATAAATAACCATAAGGCTATTCATCCTGTGAAACTGTGTGTAAATGGAGACAAATCTGAACATTATTAGGTTATTTTCTCCCCACGTCGAAAGCTTTTCATACCTACAGGATAGCTTGAATCAAGAAGATACTGCATTGTGGCCACTAGATGGAGCTGAAGATCATATTAAATTAATACATATTTAATTAACCACTTAAGGACCACCCACAATGCACTGCAGATGGGTGGCCCGTACAAGTACGCCGCTGTGCCACTATGGTCCACCCGTCTGCAGGGCATTGTGGGTGGGTGGTGCTTAAGTTTCTGGGCTCTTCCGGGGTACAGGGTGCCCCCGCCCGCTGACTCCCACTGTGATTGTACACAGCAGGAGTTTTTCAGCAGGTCCCAGCCAATAATCCATAGCTGGGACCTGCTGATCGTCTGTATCCAATCACAGTCGAGAGCCCTGTGTTAACAAACACCACAAGGCTCTGTACAGAGGGAACAATCTCTTTGTTTCTTCTCCCTGCAAAAAAGGGTGAAGGAACATAGAGATTTTTTAGTAAAAAGTAACACACATTACAAACATTAACACTTGTTAGGCACTGCCAAAGAAATCAAACAGAGGGTGCATTACCTTAAAACACATTTATTAATAAAAAGGTGATAAGCAATATACTCACAAATGACAAAAATGTCAAAGGCACATCATAAAAGAACAGCACTGTCCAGTTCCCATTACATGACTGTCCGCAATAGGAACCCTGGATCTCCAACAGGCTAACGCGTTTCGAGGACTTGCCTCTTCCTCAGAGTCAGCCTTCATTATTACAGTGACAGTGTTATCACTGATCACTGTATTCGTTTCACTGGAGATGTCAGTGTCAGTCAGGTCCCACCCATTGTCAGTTAGTGTCAGATTGACCACCACAGTCCCACTACTGTATAAGTGGCTGATCACCACCATTACTAGTATAAAAAAATACATAAATAAAAATTCCAGTATATATTCCATAATTTGTGGATGCTATAACTTTCATACAACCAGTTAATATACACTTATTAGGAAGTTTTTTTTTTTACCAAAGACACGTAGCAGAATACATTTTGGACTAAATTTATGAAGAATTTTTTTTTTCTTTTTATTGGATATGTTTTATAGCAGAACGAAAATCAGTGCCATCTAGTGCCCATAACATGGTATTTTCCCCACTTCGCTCAATGAAGAACATTTGACCTGGAGGGAAAACAGCCTAATAACATTCAATTTTCCACCATACACACAGAACAGAATCAATTTACATGCATTTTCACAGGACTAATAGTTCTGCAAATTTTCTTTATAAATGCACCCCATTAAATGGTATGTATTCAGGCAATTTGCAGCTTGGCAGACTTGTCTTTGCATACTGCTCGCTAAACCTGGGATTCATTTTCGAACCACAGGTAGAGAAGCAGCGCGAGAAGGAAATCAGTGACGATGAAGCTGAAGCGGAAACCGTAGAAAACAAAGCAGAAGATAAAGACAGCACCACAGAAAAGCCAAAGATTGAGGATGTTGGGTCTGATGAGGAAGAGGACACCAAGGCTGGAGACAAGAAGAAGAAGACCAAGAAGATCAAGGAGAAATACATCGACCAGGAGGAGCTGAACAAGACCAAACCCATCTGGACGCGCAATCCAGATGATATCAGCAGTGAAGAGTATGGAGAGTTCTACAAAAGCCTCACCAACGACTGGGAGGACCACCTGGCTGTGAAGGTAAGAGACCAAGAGTTTATTCCATAACGCAGCCCATGGGCACTGATGACATGCAAAGCAATCCGTATCATTTCAAAGTTTCCCAAAGTTGGGCTTTAAGTCACTACTCATAACACCCAATAATATTCCAGATCTCTTTTTTTAAGTGCAGCAAGGAACATTAAAGCTAAAAGCTGATTGGCCGTTCTGGGCAGTCGTATTGCATTCACCTGGTTCATGCTACATACATGAGCTTTATCTATGACTAACCAGCCTTACTGTCATTTTCCAGCATTTCTCCGTTGAGGGTCAGCTTGAATTCCGAGCTCTCCTCTTCATGCCAAGACGGGCGGCTTTCGACTTGTTTGAGAACAAGAGGAAGAAAAATAACATCAAGTTGTACGTGCGCAGAGTGTTCATCATGGACAACTGCGAGGATCTCATTCCTGAATTTCTGAGTAAGTTGCTTGTTTCTTCTGTGATATTACTGCTAGCTGGTCAAACTCTTCCAGTTCACCTAGAACAGCCTTTCTCAACCTTTTCAACACAGAGGAACCCTTGAAATAACTTTCCAGGCTCAGGGAACCCTTTCTAAAAATGACTATATCTACAACTCATGATACCTTAGTATGATGGTTAGTGGGAAGAATTCTCCTTATACTTGTGATCATTGGGAAGAATTACCCCCTTACAGATAGCTAAAAATATCAATGGAGACAGTGGGATGTTACCTGAGAGGCAGAAATTGCTCAAGGAACCTCTAGCAGCTTCTGGAGAAACCCTTGTTGAGAAACCCTGACCTAGACATTTTGGGTGTTCACCCACCTTTGTTCCCAGCTCCTCTTATTACATTCTACATCATGTAAAATAAATAAAAATCCAGCAGGGATGGTGGGAGACCATCATAATGGGTATTGAAGGTGTGCAGACCTGAGAACTCAGCTCAGAGATCTCACCAACAGAATTCCATCATATCCCATCTTAATCTCCTCTTCTCAAGAAAGAATAAATTCAGTTCATCTCATCTTTCCTCGTAGCTGATCTTCTCCATGCCTCGTATCAGAGAAGGGCAAACAAACTCCATGTACAGTATAATACATAAGGGGGGATATGATCTCCATGTATAATACATAAGGGGGGGGGGAAATGATCTCCATGTATAATACAAAAGGAGGGATATGATCACCATGTATAATACATAAGGAGGGGGATATGATCTCCATGTATAATACATAAGGAGGGATATGATCACCATGTATAATACATAAGGGGGGATATGATCTCCATGTATAATACATAAGGGGGATATGATCACCATGTATAATACATAAGGGGGGATATGATCTCCATGTATAATACATAAGGAGGGATATGATCACCATGTATAATACATAAGGGGGGATATGATCTCCATGTATAATACATAAGGGGGGGATATGATCTCCATGTATAATACATAAGGAGGGATATGATCACCATGTATAATACATAAGGAGGGATATGATCTCCATGTATAATACATAAGGGGGATATGATCTCCATGTATAATACATAAGGGGGGATATGATCTCCATGCATAATACATAAGGGGGATATGATCTCCATGTATAATACATAAGGGGGGATATGATCTCCATGTATAATACATAAGGGGGGGATATGATCTCCATGTATAATACATAAGGGGGGATATGATCTCCATGTATAATACATAAGGGGGGGATATGATCTCCATGTATAATACATAAGGAGGGATATGATCTCTATGTATAATACATAAGGGGGGATATGACCTCCATGTATAATACATAAGGGGGGATATGATCTCCATGTATAATACATAAGGGGGGATATGATCTCCATGTATAATACATAAGGGGGGATATGATCACCATGTATAATACATAAGGGAGATATGATCTCCATGTATAATACATAAGGGGGATATGATCTCCATGTATAATACATAAGGGGGGATATGATCTCCATGTATAATACATAAGGGGGGATATGATCTCCATGTATAATACATAAGGGGGATATGATCTCCATGTATAATACATAAGGGGGATATGCTCTCCATGTATAATACATAAGGGGGATATGATCTCCATGTATAATACATAAGGGGGGATATGATCTCCATGTATAATACATAAGGGGGGATATGATCTCCATGTATAATACATAAGGGGGGATATGATCTCCACGTATAATACATAAGGGGGGATATGATCTCCACGTATAATACATAAGGGGGATATGATCTCCATGTATAATACATAAGGGGGGATATGATCTCCATGTATAATACATAAGGGGGGATATGATCTCCATGTATAATACATAAGGGAGATATGATCTCCATGTATAATACATAAGGGGGATATGATCTCCATGTATAATACATAAGGGGGATATGATCTCCATGTATAATACATAAGGGGGGATATGATCTCCATGTATAATACATAAGGGGGATATGATCTCCATGTATAATACATAAGGGGGATATGCTCTCCATGTATAATACATAAGGGGGATATGATCTCCATGTATAATACATAAGGGGGGATATGATCTCCATGTATAATACATAAGGAGGGATATGATCTCCATGTATAATACATAAGGGGGGATATGATCTCCACGTATAATACATAAGGGGGGATATGATCTCCACGTATAATACATAAGGGGGATATGATCTCCATGTATAATACATAAGGGGGGATATGATCTCCATGTATAATACATAAGGGGGGATATGATCTCCATGTATAAATACATCAGTGGTTCATATAGTGAACTCGGTGTAGAGCTATTCACCCTGAGGTCATCACAGACGACAAGGGGGCACTCTTTACATCTGGAGGAAAAGAAATTTAATCTACAAACACGGAAAGGTTTCTTTACAGTAAGAGCTGTGAAAATGTGGAAGAGTTGGTTCTGGCCAGCTCAGTGGATTGCTGTAGGAAAGTCCTGTATTCTTTCTTGGATACACAGAATATAACTGGATATAACATTTATAGGTAAAGTTGATCCAGGGAATATCCGATTGCCTCTCAGGGGATCAGGAAGGAGTTTTTTTCCCTTGCAGGAGCAAATTGGATCATGCTTTGCTGTTTTTTTTGCCTTCCTCAGGATCAACTGTGGGTATAGGATTATAACTTTTTTTTTTTAATGGCTGAACTGGATGGATTTTTGTCTTTTTTCAACCAGACTAACTATGTAACCTGGGAGGTGCTATATCTCTCCAGTACCTACCCAACACTAAAATAACAGTTTTGATGGAATGACCCTTTAAGTGAACCTACATGAAAAATGAGAACTGAGCACCAACTGTTCATTATATGAGTCCATAACATGCTAGTAAAAATATGATAGCAGGCAGACAGGGGTAGCCTTTTTTCCTTCTTATCCGTGACACTTTATTGCTGGTAAAAGTATGATAATGGGGAAGACAAGCGCTTGTTTTCCGGTCATCGTACTTTTACAGCAATAAAGCGTTATGGAATCATAAAGGAAAGAAAGACTATCCTTGCCTTCCTGTTATCATATTTGTACCAGCAATAAAGTGTTATGGACTCATATGATAACTGTTTGACGCTCTCTTTTCAGGTGGCCCCCATTTCTTGGGTGAGCCCTCGCCTTGTTGTAGAGCTGTTAAAATTTTTCCATTAAATCTCACCATTAGATGTGGCTTGATGAATATAAGATCCCATGCCTCATATCTGATTTATCCTGACCTTAAAGTGAACCTGTCACTTGAATAAAGAGGATTTTTTTATGCTGTGTGCTTTTGCTCAGGATGATCTTTCTCTGCACTGGTCTGTGCCTGTACTGAAGCCAAAGTATTAGGAAGTTTAAATGTTAAAGTATAACTGAAGGCAGTTTTTTTTTAGTTCTGGATAGCATGTAGAGCAATTAGAACACCTGTCAGTGTGTTTCGCCGTCTGTGCCCCCGCTAGGGAAATTCACCCTCTCTATTTGTCCTGTTTACCTGTTTTTATTGAAAGTGCAAGAAAATCCCACATTTTGGGTTGTCCCCAGAACATGAATAGAGGGGGAATCTTGCAATGGGGATATTAATTTGGGTAATCCTGTTGACAACAAGTGATTCCCTCACTTTGGAAGGATATCCTCTCACTTCCTGTTGCGACAATGGGACAGAAAGTGAGGGGAGATCGCCCCAATGGGCCACAGATGGCAAACAATCCTGACAGGGGTTATAACCCTCCCTTTCTCTATCTTAAATGGAAAAAAATTGCTTCTAGTTCTACTTTTATATGAAAGTGTGGCTAAAAAAGCAGAATAAAGAATCAGAACCTTCATGGGTTCTTAGGTGACTAGTGATAGGTACAGTGATAATGCTGTGCCCTGCTATGGTGTGAAAAGTGTTTTGTGTCATCCAGGTTTCTCATCCAAGCAGATTGAGGGCCCCCAGGTTGCTTGTGTCATACAGAGGAAACTTGATTTTCACCTTGCTCATAGGTTGGTAAAACCTGGTTTGAGTCCTGGAGACCAGAGGCTCTGTAGAGACTTGGGATGATGAAGTCTCCAGTCTTGGGAGGATGGAGTCTCCAGTCTTGGGTCCAGGTTTTGCAGACAACAAGCATACTGGTTTTTGTATGGCAAAGTAATGCTGCACAAACCCTGTGAGGGAAACCGATGTGTGGAACGTAAACTTTGTTTTAATAAAAACAGGCAAGAAAATCCATTAAAAAGACAATTTAAACAAGTGGCTGCATCCTAATGCTTTACGGTTTGAATCTAATCCTCCCAGTACACTATTTCTCATTTGAGAAGTGTCTGACTGATCATCTTTTTTCCCTCCTGCAGACTTCATCAAAGGTGTGGTGGACTCTGAAGACCTACCGCTGAACATTTCCCGTGAGATGTTGCAACAGAGCAAAATTCTCAAAGTTATCCGGAAGAACTTGGTGAAAAAGTGTTTGGAATTGTTCACAGAGTTGGCTGAAGACAAAGAGAACTATAAAAAGTTATATGAGCAGTTCTCCAAGAATATAAAGGTAGGAGAAGAATAGAGAACAATGGGAACCTTTGCCCACACCAAACAATCATGTTCAGAGATTTAAGTTTACTCAATGCATATTAGCAAATTAAAGAATTTGAATGCACCTTGTTATGTGAATTATCCTATCTTTGTGAGCCATTCTTAACAACTTACAATCCTGAAATAGTCATTTGTTGATCCATCTTCTCTTAGTAAACAGTAATAATTAATAAAAAGAAACCTTGAAGAGCAGGAGAACCGACTTCCTGCAATTCCACTATTGTACTGTATAAAAGAAGACTTCTCCAGAAACCCTCTGGTTGTGTTCATTTATTTCTGAGGGGGGAAAGATTGTACATTTATAGGGATCCAGAGTAGGCTTTTATTTGAAAAACAGCTCCTGAATCTTTAGATGTCTGGGTCTGGTATCAGATAACAGAAAGGAAACTTGAACTGGCACAGCCACCATTGAGGTTTCCAGCAGAGGCCTTTGAGAACCAGAAGGAGCAAGGATAGCTTTGCATTTTCAAACTTGCTCGATTTGCCTGGATTAAGTTCAGCATCATTGGCAGAAAAGACAGTTTGTGATAAATATGGAGGGATTCACACAGATAGAAAGTTTACAGCAAAATTGACAATCTTCTTTAGGGCACTTTAATACAGCTAAATATGGCAAAGGTCAAGGCTGGGATATACAGTGGTCTTAAGAATAGCCCTAGTTGTTTAAATGATTCAATAAAAATAATGTTTGATCAACTATCATCAATAAAAATCTATTGCTTTATATTTTTTCAGCTTGGAATTCATGAAGACACTCAAAACCGCAAGAAGCTTTCCGAACTGTTGCGCTATCACACCTCAGCTTCTGGAGATGAGATGATTTCACTAGCAGACTATGTATCACGAATGAAGGAGAACCAGAAACATATCTACTACATCACAGGTAGGCCCTGATCTCCTAATATTAGTTCTTCACGGGGTCTAGGCTATTCGGAGGTGCCTTGTGCCCTTCACAATTTTTCACAGTCTTCTCTTCATCCTTGTCTATGTTCAGGTGAGAGACCAGGGATCAAGTAGCCCATTCCTCCTTTGTGGAAAGGCTCCGTAAACATGGCCTTGAAGTCCTCTACATGACGGAGCCCATTGATGAGTACTGCGTGCAACAGCTGAAGGAGTTTGATGGCAAAAGTTTGGTGTCTGTTACTAAAGAAGGCCTGGATCTTCCAGAGGATGAAGAGGAGAAGAAAAAGAAAGAAGATATCCAAACCAAATTTGAAGATCTCCTCAAAGTCATGAAGGACATCCTGGACAAGAAGATTGAGAAGGTCAGTTTGTCTATGTGTCACAGAAGAAATTTCCATGATCAGCCAGGCATTTGGCCCTTCATATATTTGGTACTACAAATGTTCCTTTTTTATGAATCTTGAGCTTTTTTGATATGTATTTTATCTATATTTGTGGTCTCCAGGTGGTGATCTCTAACAGACTGGTGGAATCTCCGTGCTGCATAGTGACCAGCACCTATGGATGGACAGCCAACATGGAACGTATCATGAAGGCTCAGGCCCTCAGAGACAACTCCACGATGGGTTACATGTCAGCCAAGAAACATCTTGAAATCAACTGTGATCACCCAATTATTGAAAATCTGAGGCAGAAAGCTGAGGTAGACAAGAATGATAAATCTGTAAAGGATCTGGTGAATCTGCTATATGAAACTGGCCTGCTGTCCTCTGGCTTCACCCTGGAGGATCCCCAAACACATGCCAACCGCATCTACAGAATGATCAAGCTTGGATTAGGTGAGTGGAGCCTTATACACCAACATATCATAGAAACATGTTTCCCTGTTCATCACATGCTGTGTTTAAGCCACTATGATCCAAAGGCTTTTTGCTTGCCTTTTTCTGATGTTTGGGGCACTATTCATTGCACTGACATGAGTAATTATTTATATTACTGACACCATTGATAAGCATACATTTTCTCACTGACACCAACAATGGACAATGGGGCACTAGTCCTTTCAATGACACCAACAATGGGGCATTATTCCTCACACTGATATAAATGATGGAACACTATTCCTCCCACTGACATCAACAATGGGGCACTATTCCTCCTTCAACTCATCACTGGAGCTATGTCACTTTTTTATATCCACTGACCACCAAACCATTGTTTACATTCACTAACTCTGGGACATTTTCTACTTCTACTGACTACAGTCCAGCCCCCCTAAAATCTGAAGGAAATGAAACTGGCCAAAATTTTAGTCTTCACAAGAACAAGAGATGAGGGGAAATCTTCCAAACTGGAACACCTATTCCAGTGAAAACTGTCTAAGAGGGGAGTTCCCTTTACTTTGGAGAGATTTCCTCTTACTTCCTGCTGCATCACTAGGACAAGAACTGAAGGTACACCGACTATGAAAAATACCAACACAACTGGTTCTAACCATTCCCTACTCTATTAAAAAAAATGTTTTGGCTACAAATGCACTTTAAAGTGTTACTAAACCCAAAACAGTAAAATCAGTCTGCAGTAAAGCATGCTTGTTATACTCACTGTGGAAGCTAAGGGGTTAATCCTCTGCATTGTGTAAAAAGGCTGTTTGATCCTGTCTTCTCTGTTCCTCCCCTTTTTCCAGTGACCACCTCTTATCTCCAGACTGAACTGTAGGCACGCACATGCTCAGTTTGGTGTTTATTGCTAGAGAGTGTTTTTTTTTTCTTGGGAGAGTGCATGTGATTAGCACAGGGCTAATCAGCACTGTCCAGACAGACGTCAGGGGATTCCCATTCTCCTAGAGCAGAAAGAAAACTCCTCCTACAAGCTTTAGCTAGTGCTCTGCTGGACACTGATAGAAGTCACAAGACTGCTCTAACTGCTGATGAGAAAAGGTATTTAGCAGTTTATATTTACTACAATAATTGCATTACCATGTAGTGTGCACTGTGGGAGACCAGATATAGTGAATGCAGGGTCCGGAGAGACTAGATATAGTGAATGCAGGGTCCGGGGAGACCAGATATAGTGGATGCAGGGTCCGGGGAGAGCAGATATAGTGAATGCAGGGTCCGGGGAGACCAGATATAGTGGATGCAGGGTCCAGGGAGAGCAGATATAGTGAATGCAGGGTCCGGGGAGACCAGATATAGGGAATGCAGGGTCCGGGGAGACTGGATATAGTGAATGCAGGGTCCATGGAGACCAGATATAGTGAATGCAGGGTCCGGGGAGACCGGATATAGTGAATGCAGGGTCCGGGGAGAGCGGATATAGTGAATGCAGGGTCCGGGGAGAGCGGATATAGTGAATGCAGGGTCCGGGGAGACCAGATATAGTGAATGCGGGGTCCGGGGGAGACCAGATATAGTGAGTGCAGGGTCCTAGGAGACCAGATATAGTGGGTACATTTTCTGTGTAAATTCTGTAATAGATTAAAGTGCTTTGAAAGGCTGAAGGTTTACCTTCTTGCATTCTATGCATAAAAGTAAAAAATCTTCAGTATGAAGCAACCCCCTCAGCCCTTCCTATACTTACCTGAGCCTGATCTCGATCCAGTGCTGTGCATGAGAGCAGTGGCTGTCCCAGGTCTCTCTCTCACAGCAGCAGGAGCCACCAACAGTGATAAGGGAACGGGGGGTGGGGCCAAGCCGTGCTGTGTCTGTCTTATAGACACACCAAGGTGGCTCAGGAGTGAGCATGCACGAGTGCCCTCAGAGAAAACAGTTTGCCCTTGGGGCACTCAGCAGGGGGGAGGAGCGCCGGACCCGAGAAGAGGAAGATCAGGGCTTCTCTGTGCAAAACCACTGCACAGAGCAGGTAAGTATGACATGTTTGTTATTAAAAAAACAAAAAGAAAACATTTGAACCTTTAGTATCACTTTATTCCTATAAACATCATCTGCATCTAGTGGCCAAAATGCGGTATAGTGTTCTGAAACACATTTTGTCCATAAGATGGACCTGATGATCAGTGAAATTAATATGGGGAAATTTGTCCAGCCTGCACAAATGTGTGTGACATTCGCCAAGCAAATGTTTTGGAAATAGACCTCAAGGTGTTCTGGAGTCCAACCTCAAAAACCTGATCATGTCCCTCGAGATCAATCACAACTGTTACCTTAAAGCTCCACTTCCCTTAGGGGTTAAGCTGGCAACATACATTAAGATTTTATAGATTTTACAGAATACATATATAGTTTTATAGAATCTAACAGATTCCTTCACCCATGCTACGAACACACATGGAGGATTCTCCTGGTGCAGCTAAGGTATTTTGGTAGCTACCCTGATAGCTGTCAAAATACCAAAAAAAGGTACAAGGCATTCTATGAATTTATTTCAGGTACTTATATACAGGGTGGATTTGATTTAAATCAAACTGATTTAAATCACGATTTAAATCACTAGTCAGTAAGGCTCGATGTAAATCCTAGTTTTCTACATGAAGACTAATTCTTGCTGGTATAACTTTAATATACAAGTAGATGAAGATTTTTAGAATACCAACTTTTCATATTAGTTTTTTTATCCCCAGTTTAATAGGTTAATCATTCATATTTGGACAACTTTTCTGTTGTACTTAGGAAGGAGAAAAATAATCATTACCTTAATAATAACAATTTAAATAGATTTATTCATCTGAAACAATAACATTCCAGCATATGTGATTTGCTTAAACATCCATGTTTGTTAACTAATTTGGCTAAACAAAATATACATATTTTAAGAAACTTAGACTGTCAGCCCCTCCTCCTCACACTTAGTTTCACTTTCTTCTTGTGCAGATCTATTCCACTCCAAACAATCAGAAAAATATTGTTTCTATTCTATTCACTGAACTTCTTGAAACTTAGCAGTGAAGGGGTTGATTCTGTATTCATAGGTTTGTAGAAGTTAGGATTAAGATCTTTTTCTTAACTCTGTTCATGTTATAACATTTTTGCTGTGAAGAAGAGGCATGTGATCTCCGCTGAGTCAAATTCAGTTTTGAGAACTGCAAAAGTAAACCAACATCTGTGATAATATCTTGTAGGCAGAGAAACTGCCCAATAATCTTACAAAAACCTCTGGAAGAGCATGACATTGTGAATGGATTCATGGAATTTATTTACCAAAAAAATTAAACATATACAGCCTTATTCTACATAATTAAAAAAACTAATCTTTATTTCATGATGGAATAACCTTTGGATGGTAATAGATTTTCCTCAAAAAGCATTTTATTTAAAAAAAATCCAATTTAAATAAAAAAAATTCGATTTCAATAAAAAAAAAAATCTGATTTTTTTGATTTGTTTTAAAAAATCATTGATTTTTATCCACCCTGCTTATATAGCACCATCAATGTACGCAGCGCTTTACATATATATTGTACATTCCCATCAGTCCCTAACCCTCAAGGGGCGTACAATCTAAGGTCCCTAACTCACAATCATACTACACAAACTAGGGACAATTTAGACAGGATCCAATGAACCTACCAGCATGTATTTGGAGTTTGGGAGGAAACCGGAGTACACAGAGGAAACCCACGCAGGCACAGGGAGAACATGCAAACTCCAGGCAGGTGGTGCCATGGTTGGGATTTGAACCAACAGCCCTAGTGCTGTCAGACGGAAGTGCTAACCATTTAGCCACTGTGCTGCCCATGAATGGTAGCAGTGCCGAGTGAGTGACCCCCATCAGTGATCAGTGTGCAGAGGGGAAGGCCAGCAGGACCTGGAAGATAACATATCACTGTACTAGCACCAGTGCAGTGATATTCAGCTTCCCCAGCCGCTCATCAAGTATGAAATATACAATACTTACATTACACCAAGCTGGACCAATGTGATGCAATTCAAATTTGTGGATTTCAGCTTTATAGTATAGTATAGGTAAATGGACCTTGTTTGGAGGCTCACGAACCTTTACTTTCTTTGTACAGGTATTGACGAAGATGACATCACTCAGGAGGAGATCACAAGCCCGGTGATAGAAGACATGCCACCCCTAGAGGGCGACGATGACACATCTAGGATGGAAGAAGTAGACTAAAGAGTAGAACTTTGCTCTAGGGCAGGGGTCTCCAAACTCTCTAAACAAAGGGCCAGTTTATTGTCCTTCAGACTTTAGGAGGGCTGGACTGTGGCCATTGGGAGCAGAAAAGGTCCCAACCTCAGATGGATAAAACAATGCATCAACATTTGTGTCATTGGGAGGAATTGTGCTTCATCATTGGTGTCATTGGGTGTCATCGGTAGAAATTGTGCCCCATTGTTGATGTCATTTGGAGGAACTGTGCCTCATCATTGGTGTCATTGGGAGAAATTGTGCCCCTTGTGTCATTGGGAGGGTATAATGCCACATTGTTGGTGTCAGTGGATGAAATAGTGCCCCAAGTGCTGGATGAAGGCAATTAGAGGAATTGTGCCTCATCATTAGTGTCATTGGTAGAAATTGTGCCCCATTGTTGATGTCATTTGGAGGAACTGTGCCTCATCATTGGTGTCATTGGGAGAAATTGTGCCCCTTGTGTCATTGGGTGGGTAGAATGCCACATTGTTTGTGTCAGTGGATGAAATAGTGCCCCAAGTGCCGGATGAAGGCAATGGGAGGAATTGTGCCTCATCATTGGTGTCATTGGGTGTCATTGGGAGAAATGGTGCCCCATTGTTGATGTCATTTGGAGGAACTGTGCCTCATCATTGGTGTCATTGGGAGAAATTGTGCCCCTTGTGTCATTGGGAGGGTATAATGCCACATTGTTGGTGTCAGTGGATGAAATAGTGCCCCAAGTGCCGGATGAAGGCAATGGGAGGAATTGTGCCTCATCATTGGTGTCATTGGGTGTCATTGGGAGAAATGGTGCCCCATTGTTGATGTCATTTGGAGGAACTGTGCCTCATCATTGGTGTCATTGGGAGAAATTGTGCCCCTTGTGTCGTTGGGAGGGTATAATGCCACATTGTT